GATAGATAGATAGATAGATAGATAGATAGATAGATAGATAGATAGATGTAATCCCCCATCTGCAGCATATGGACTGTGAAGCACAGAGACACAGACAGAGATACACTCAGGACTTAGAAATATGATTCATTTCTTTCCTCTCTCTAATCCCCACAAACAAGCTGGTGGCCGGCCTGCTCTGGTAGCCCGCTGTAATCATGCCACAGGCTGCTGTTGCAGCCTGAGCTGACTGGACATCCCATCATCCCTCCCTCCCTCTTTACACTCCTTCCTCCCTCCCTCCTGCCCGCAGTCCAATTTCCTCTTAATCGATTCCTAATCCCAACGCCACCGAGCACAGACACACACACACATGCACACGCCCGGAGATTCACGCATGCGTACGTGCAGACATTGCAGTATCAGACATACATTTATGAGTGCTGATTCCCCCTGAAACATGCGTGCACATACGCGTGCAACAGGATGAAACTCGTCGCAGACACACACAAACGAGATGCACACAACTAATTTAAAGAGATGAAGTCAGCATGGACTGTTGGCTACAGGGTTATTGAGTCGGTCGCTGTAGAATATAAAATGAAGACTGGCCTTTTGGTGCCCTTTTGGTATGCCTAATGTTCTTTAACAGATGTATCCAACTAGCATTTGCATGTGACTGTACTTCCAAAAAAGTTCCAGATCACCTTTTCTTTAAAATTATTCTAATCGTTAGCTTATTTGCAAAATGTTTTATTTAAATTGCAATCTGAAATATACAAATGAGGTCTGATGTAACACATGTATATAATCTTTAAAAGAGGGAAGTCTATAAATCCCAAATACGACATCTTAGTTCTATTTAGCTAAGGTATTGGAGCTAAGATATGTTGACATTTCATGGGTGTCTTTTGGTTGATTAAAGGCTAAGAGCACGCATCAGTAGCAGCAAGACAAATGTCTTTTGTTTTTGCAGTCTTTCAAACAACAGAGTGTTCATTGAAACTGTATGCTTTGTTAACAATTAGCAGTGGAAACCTTTACAGTTCAAGACATTAAAAGCAACACTTTGTGTTAGCAGCTTTTGACAAAGCATGAAAGAGAAAAAGATTGAACCAATTCCTCATCTGGACTAACTGAAAATGAACATGAGAGTTTTTTACCTTTGTTCTGTGAAGGGGTCAGTTTTGATGTGTAAATGAGAATATGCTCATGTTTAGACTGACATATTGTTCGCCAACCCTGGTTTCTCGAGGCACACTTCCTTGTACGTCTTCCAAGTGTCCCTGCTCTTCAGCACACCAGATCCAAATGGACGGGCCCTTATGAGTCTTTATACGGACCTTAAAGAGCTGGGGGGACGTTCAGTTTATCAGAATACGATCAAACACTGGATAGACAGAGCAGTTCGTGTCGTACAACGTACAAAAGATTGGTCCTTTTGCCGTTTTTTACTGCTCCATTGTTCCCATGCTGATTAAGTGTGTTAACTTGCATTAATCGTTAAATAAGATTTGTAATGCTGCGGAATCACATAGTCGTGCAGTGTAAGTAGGTATGAGGGATCTGCAGCTGGCAGTGGTAACAGGATCAGTATTACACTATGAATGGATCACCCAGCACTGTCAACCTCAGTATACACTTCTGTTAAGGGCTTTACGACAGATTACAACTTAACACCTAGTTAATATCACTAATAGTAAAAGTCAGTGTTTGGGACCACAGATTAATGATATATTTGACTGAAACAGTTGTTTGGATTATGGGGGAATTGGGCGTTTGGTGCGAGTATCGAACGCAGACTGTGATCTGAGGGTGAGGCGGCAGGGACCAGTCTGATGTCTGAGCACACTTGAACACTTCAGACTGAAATAAGTCAGAAATGCTCTTCTATGTCTTCCCTCCATTCCACTGCCTGCCCTCATGTGCCCCTTCCTCCGTGCCACCTCTCCCAGTTTGCCCCCTTGTTCCTCTGCTCCACCTCTCCTTGCAG